GATGGAAGAAAGGGGGAGGGAGGAGAAGGAAAGGGGTTGAAAAAGAATTAAGATTTGTCATCTACATGTACCAAGTCCTTGTGATGAGCGCAATCATTATTCCATGTACACATGCACTAATAAAAATTTAAAAAGTGCTAAGACAGCTCAAAACCTCAGAACCATTTATTATTATAAAGGATATTAAAATGGTGCTGATATACAGCCAGATGGAAGAGGTGGATAGAGGAGGGCATGGAGCTTTTGTGCCATCTCCAGGCACACTGTCTTTACAGCATATCCATGTGTTCTGCAAACCAGAAGGTCATCACATTATACTGTGGAAGAATTTTTATAGAGCTTGATCTGCCCCTGGATCAAGCCACAGTTGGTGTGTGGGACTGCAAGCTCCAGCCCTTTAATCACTTGGTCTTTCTGGTGTCCAGCCCTGTCCTGAGGTTATCAAGGGGCCCCACCTAAGGCATTATTAACATAAACTCAGCTATGACCAAAAGGAGCTTCTTCAAGGGCTGGGCATATAGCTCAGTAACGGAGCATTTGCCTAGCCTGTGTCAGAGCCTGAATTGCATCCCCAGCTTAGGGACAATGACACACACAAAAATCTTGATTAATAACCCCTGGCACTGGCCCCCGGCTGCCACCCCTTCCTGTTTTACTTCTCAGACTATTAACCCCCACTGAAGCAATAAGTACTTCTCCTTATAGACATCTGCTTCCCAGGATGAGAGCTATCATGACACATTATTTCTACTATTGTTTTTCTGCCCCCAAATGGAAATTTAATCAGTTCAATCACTGGTAACATCAATCTCAAAATGAGAGGAGCTGTACCAAATAACTGGCCAGTGCCCTTCAAAAATGTCCAGGTCATGACAGGCAAAGACTGAATAATGGATACTAAGGAGACTTGCCAAGGAAATATGACATGTGCTCCTGGATAGGTTCCTAGTCTAGAAATACAGGACACCTCCACTGGCCTGAGGGAGCACCCCTCACCTCTGCACCTGGAAGAAAGGGGGAAAGAAGCAGTATAGGTATCGGCGGGAGGAACTGACGTGGTCTGTGTGAGTCCTTCGATCTCCGCATAAATGAACCTATTTGGTGCATTTGATGAACCTATGTGCAGAACGCTGATAGGGGAGGCTGAATGAGGTGTTCTCAGCTTTACTGAGACGAATACGAGAGAAAGCCACCCTAGGACTCGTAATGGATTGTGGAGGATTTTGAGTGCTTAGTTAAGACTGAAGACCATGAAACTGTAGAAATACCACTCTAAGGAGACTTGACATATTCCTCAGCAGCACTCAGCAGCCTAGTAAACAAAACGGGCTGTGCAGTTAATACAGAGTGTGGCTTGGCCATCTTGGTAGAGCAGAATCAAGGAGGGTACAAGGGACTTCTAGGACTGGGGAGTCAGGCGATGGAACTGGGAAGTAAGGGAAGTCGGGAGTGGAGTGGGAGACCATAGAGTTGGAGGTTTTCATGAGTCCACAGTTAGGGTGGCCAGAAAGAAATGGAGAGGAGGCAGATTGCACTCAGAGATTGGGATCTTGCAAGTCAAAAGCTGTTGCCATGCACAGCACTGGGAAGCACCCTCCATCCCAGCCTTATACCAGTGTCTGAGGACTATGAAGCCCCCGTTCGCCTGAGAAAGTCCCAGTTTACACCTCCCCCACCACAAGCATTTTGTCCAGTTTAACATCTGACCCAGATTTTTCATTTTAAGTATTGCTATAAGAGTTGCATTGAGGGGCTGGGGATTTAGCTCAGCGGCAAAAGCGCCTACCTGGCAAGCACAAGGTCGTGAGTTCGGTTCCCGGTACCGGAGAAAAAC